GATTTAACAAAATCTGGCAATTCCTCATGGCCCGGGGCCAGAATGCATTGCTGCAGGGCCTGGGCGGGCAGCAGGAGTAGCTGTCCTCGGGACAGGTTGGGTCTGGCTGGGTTGGCACCGTTGAGGAGAAGCAGCAGCTGAGCTGCGTGCCACTCAGGACCGGCTAAGCTGCAGCTTTCCCTCCCCAGTGCTGACCTGGCTGGGCCCGTCCCATCCTGAGCAGCATGTGCCTGAAGCCAGCCCAGCTGTGGCTTTCCCTCTCTGGTGCCAGCCTGGCTGGGATGGGAAGGCAAAGCTTTGCCACGTGCTGTTCAGGCTGGGCTGGGCTGGTCCTGAGTAGCACATGGCTCAGCCACTGCTGCTCCTTGCCCAGCCCGTATGGTCCCAAGCAGCACATGGCAAAGCAGCACGTGGCCAAAGCTGGCCCAACTACAGCTTTCTATCCTTGGTATTGTTCCTACCTGGCCTGAGCGGCATGCAGCGAAGCCCGCCCAGCCACTGCTTTCTCTTATCTGCACGTCGGGATCCTCTCCAGCTAGAAGCTGGACAGAAGCTACCCCAGGCACCCCTTCACCTCACTGGTGCCACATCATCTGGCCCAGCCCTTCTGGCCCCTCTTAAGCTGCAGACCTGGCCTGAGCTAGGGGTGGGGCGAAGCCAGCAAGGTGCCTGCAGCCGGCAGCTCATGCCACTGGAGGCTTTCAGGCAGGCAGCCACCATTATCTGGGTTTTGAAGGAGCTCCATGGGCCGGATGGAAGCATCTGGTGGGCTGAATGTGGCCTGCGGGCCATATTTTGCCTGCCCCTGGCTTAAATGGTATTATTCACAATCTAAGGTCATGAATTATATTGCTGTCAGTGGCTTATGGCCAGTTTCAAATTTTTTTTTTTTCCTGAATTTGGTGCAAATACTTTTAAAATCTAATCTTGCTCATTGGTTCTCTCTGCAGCTTTCATTGCATATAGTGGGTGTCACAAAAATGTATATTCACTTTAGTTATCTGGAATACACAAGCCCTTGTTCCATCTGCTGATTTAGTTCTGCTGCTTATTATCTCTCAGAGCCCTGAGGAAGAGTACTATAGTACCTGAAAGCTTGTCAGTCTTCCTGTCAACTATGTAGTTGGTGCAATAAAAGATGGTGCAGTCCTTTCTTCTCTCTCTCTCTTTTTTTTTTTTCCTGGACCATCATGGCTAGCCCATCACTCTAACCCTACCTGTAAGACAGTGACATTGATAGGACTACAGTAGATTGGTGACTAACAACTTTCTGGGCCCGTGAGCTGGATGAGTGTGTGGTTGATTTTTTCGGGTTAGATCTCCCTATGTTTGTTGTAAGTTATGCTGTTTTCTACCTAACAAAAGAACTCAAAATATCTATCGCTATATCTGTGTATTCCTGGTTTATGTTTTTTTGTTTTTTTTTTGAGCTACCTTGTAATACAAGTAATTGTTAAATCTAATGTTTCAGTAGTAACACAGTTCGGAGGTCTCCCTTTGAAGCATCTATGAG